CCTGTTCTTCGCCTAGTCTCCAAACCTCACAGAGTCCTACAACATCCCATCTAATGAAGGAGAGTTTCTCAAGTAATACTAGTAAGTCAAATTCCGTTCTCATTGTCCTTATATATGTGCAAAGGTTCATCAATGTTGGGCGGCCTGTTCACAGCCGGGGATTCTTAGCACCCTCTGCTCCGGAGTGATCCTGAATGCCGTCGTAACCAGGGGTCCTTCGTCTCCGGAGAATTAGGGCAGTTGTTCTGTTTGTGCAGTCACGCTTTTTGATTGTGAAGTAAACAACCGAGTTACCTCCCACCTACTGGTCTAGGTGTATCTTGGTGGGAGGGGGAGTATTTTAGCCGGGATGCCACTGATAAGCTCCTCCAGCAAGGTTGGCCCTGTCTATTGTGGGCAATATATCTGTGTGTGTGATCATATATACCTATATACATATATATCTTTATCTATCTATCTATATATATATATATATATATATATATATACATATATATATATATATATATATATATATATATATATATATATATATATATATATATATATATAAACACATGCGCGCGTGTGTGTGTGAGGTTGAGAATCTTCCACGTGGGTAGAGCTTCAGTGAAAATTACCCTGATGACATAGTGATCACTTGATGATGAACGTATACATACGTAGCGAGTGAAGGTGAGGGTTGACCCCGGTTGGTCTCCCACTTTTCCGCTGGGCATCGTTCGAGAACGATCTGAGGAAGTCACCATGTGCTTTTGATAACTATTTTGGTAGGCAGAGCTTTTCCTTTATACTTATGAAGTTTTTAAGAAGTTTCCAGTGACAATTAGAAATATAATTTCTTGAGTAAACTGAGTAATGTAAATTGAAATTGAACCAAACAGTGAAACAAATATGCTCATATATTACCCAAAATAGTAAAATACAGAAAATTTCATCATTAGTTTATTTTATTATTCTTAAAATATTAATTTAACTGAAGGAACATTTTCCTCTAAGAAAGCTGTGGTGGTGGCGTCGACTATACGTACAATAGCCTCATTGTCTAAGTTTTATTGCAGTAACTTAGCAGAACCTTTCACTTCAGTATATACTATATTAAGCTTTCGAGTCCACTTACGTTTGCCACATAAAGTAAAGAATAATTCATATAGTATAGTGTAGTGTGGTACATTTTTTGTTGTGTGAGAGGCGGGAGGTGCTAGGTCGGCATAGTTCAGCACTAAGTAGACATAACAATCCTTGTTTTCAACAGTCGTTCGCCCTCGTGTGATGACGTCATAACCCCCACTCCTGACGGCCCTCCCCACATGTGAGTCGAGTTGGGGCGGATGCCGACTACGGAAATTTTCCTGGGGGAAATTGTCACGTGCCGACCTTGCCTGTCAGCTGGCTCGAGAGCGAGTGTTACCATTTGTGCGTGTTTTTTCGCATTGTTTTATTTTCTTTCTTTTTTGCTGGACGTTGTGTGTTTCCGTGTGGAATCTATGTGGAACAAATAAAAAAGCGAGGGAAGAACAGGAAAAAAACACTAATATGCCAAAAGGCCTTTTGGCTTTGTTGCTTCTTCAGAGCATACAAGACAAGAGATACACAAAGGTGTATAAATGCATGTACTGGGCGGTCAGGTCAGTA